TTGCAAATTAGACCTTCTTAAAAAATATTTTTTCCATTCAACAGGTTGCTTTTTTTTGGGAGGGAGGGAGGGAGGTCCACCTGCTGCTTCCAGCACCCACCCCGACTAGGGATGGAACCCGGACTCGGGCGCGCGCCCTGCCAGGACCTGAAGGCCCCTCCCGGGCACCGCTGGTGCTCCAGCCGAGCCTACAGCCAGGGCCTTTGAATCTCTTTTTGATCCATGTGTATATGTTACCTACTTAAAATGAAATTTAAAAGTTAAAGCAGTGCCCGGTGTCATGGGTTTGAAACCACCCGTTACTGTCTTGTTGGTTCACCCTAAATGGCAGCCCCATCACAATATAGATGCTGCCTGCCTGGCGCATTCACCTCGGTATCCCCAGCACCGAGAACCAGGCTGGTATAAATAAATATTTATTCAATGAACGAAGAATGTACAGTTTGATGAAGAAGCATATTGAGCAAAAGCCATGGGAAGCAGTGAAGGCAGTGTTCAGAGGAGAATTTATAGCCATAAATGTCTACACTTAAAAAAGGTATTAAACCAGTAACCTAACTTTACATTTTGAAGGAAAAAAAACACGAAAAAAAAAAGGCAAGCTAAACCCAAAGGTAGAAGAAAGGAACAAATAAAAATCACAGGTAAGTAGCCTGGCCGGCGTGGCTCCGTTGACTAGAGCATCATCCCCCACACCAAAAGGTGGTGCCTGCAAATCCCTGCCAGGGCACACGTGGAAGGCAACTGACCGATGTTTCTCTCTCACATTGATGTTCTCTGTCTAAAAAACAAAAAACCAAAACCAAAAACAAAAAAAAACCTCAGATGAGGATTTAAAAAAATTATTTAAAAAATTAGAGATAAATAAAAAAATTTAAAAAGTCGATGAGCTCTGGCCGGTTTGGCTCAGTGGCTAGAGTGTCAGCCCGCACACGGAAGGGTGCCAGGCTTGGTTGCAGGCTCAATTCCGGGGCGCCCGTGTGGGTGCCCATGGAGGCAACCAACCAATGTGTCCCTCTCACATTGATGTCTCCCCCATCCACTCTCTCTGAAAAGCAAAGGAAAAAATACCCTCTGGTGAAGATTAAAAAAAAAAAAAGTCAATGAAAGTAAAAGTTGGTTCTCTGAAAAGACCAACAAACCTGACAAACTTTTAGCTACACTGACAAAAAAAGACATAAATCAGGAAAGAAATGAGAGACATTACTACTGATCTTAGAGAAATAAAAAGGCTGAGAGAATATTATGAACAATTGCACACACACATTACCTGAAGTAGCATAACAGCAACAGGAACTGGTAGGGAACTGATGGCCTCCCTGGGGAAGTCTATTAAACACTGAAAGAATTAACACCAATCCTACCTAAGCTCTACCGACAAATTGAAGAGGAGGGAACACTTCCTAACTCACTGGGTAAGGCCAGCACTACACTAATACTAAGGCCAAAAACATCACAAGAAAATTAGACGAAATCCATTATAAATATAGATGCAACACTCAACAACAAAACTAAAAACAAACAAACAACCTCAACAAAATATTAGTAATCCAAATCCAACAGCCTATTTAGACAATTATATGTCATGACCAAGTGGGATCTGCCCCATGAATGCAAGGACAATCCAACATAAGAAAATCAATCAATGTAATACACCACAATGATAGAATGAAAGGGGGGAAAAAACACATGATTACCTCAATTGATCGAGAAAAGGCACTTCACATCCCACACCCTTTCATCTCAAAACCACTCCAAAAACTAGGAATAGAAAACTTCAACATGATAAAGGGTATCTACGAAAATCCCACAGTAACCCTAACGGTGAAAGACTGAACAAGGCAAGAGTGCTTACCCTCACTCACCGTTTCTACTCAACAAAGTACTAGAAGTTCTAGCAAGAAACTTCTAGAAACTTCTAGNGCTTACCCTCACTCACCGTTTCTACTCAACAAAGTACTAGAAGTTCTAGCCAGAGCNCTACTCAACAAAGTACTAGAAGTTCTAGCAAGAAACTTCTAGAAACTTCTAGAATTTGGCAAGAAAATGAAACAGAGGATATCCAAACTGGGAAGGAGGAAAAGCTACCTTTATTCATAGATGACATGATCTCATATATGGAAAATCCCAAAGAATCCAAAGGAAAACTACTAGAGTTAATAAATTCAGTCAAGTTGCAGGACACAAGTCAATGCACAACAATCAATACACTAGTAAATGGAAAAGTTGAGAGCAATTCCACTTACAAATGCATCCAAAAATGTAAAATACCTAGGAATAATTTAACAAAGGTAAAAGACTTGTACACCAAAAACTACAATACAATGCAGAAAGAAATTAAAGACGACACAAATAAGTGGAAAAGTCATCCCATGTTCATAGTCTGGAAGACTTAATATTGTTAAGATGTAAATACTACCCAAAGCAATCTACAGACTCAACACAATCCGTATCAAAATTTCTATAACCTTTTTTGCAGAAGGTGAAAAGACAAACATTAAATGTATATGATGTGGGATATAAAAGTGGAACTCGTGGACACAAACAGCAGTGTGATGGTTGCCAGAGGAAAGGGGGTGAGAGGGTGAAGGGGTTCTTGATGTACAGTGATGGGACAGGGTGTGACTTTGGGTGGTGGGCACACAGAGCAATGTATAGATCTTGTAGCATCAAAGCCCACACCTGAAACCTGTATGTTCATATTGACCACTGTCACCCCAATAAATTTAATGCAGTGTTTGAAAAAATAAATTCATATGAATTTGCAAGGGGAGCCACATGACCAAAACAATCTTAAAAAAGAAGTTGGAGAACTCACTTCTGGATTTCAAAACTGACTACCAAGCTATGATAATCAAAACAGTATGATGCTGGTATAAAGATAGCATATAGACTAATGGAACAGAATTTAGAGTCCAGAAATAAATCCAATATATAGAGAGCCCATTGATTTTCAAAAAGGATGCCAAGTCCATTCAATGGGGAAAGAATCATCTCTTCAACAGATGGTACTGGGATAATCAATGTCCATCAACTGATAGGTAGACAAAGGTGCAGCATGTTCATACAACGGAATATATTCAGCCATAAAAATTTCTGACACATGCTACAACATGGATGAACCCTGCAACATGTTAAGTAAAAATAAGTGACACAGGACAAGTACTGTATGCATTCACTTACATGAGGTACTCAGAGTTGTCAATTTATAGAGATAGAAAGCATAGGGGAGAAGGGAGAGGGGACTGGATGGGAAGTTACTACATAATGGTTAAGAGTTTCTGTTTGGAGTGGTGAAAAGTTCTGGAAATAATGGTGACGGCTGTACAACATTGTGAATGTAATTATGCCACTAAGTTGTACACTTTAAATGGCAAGTATATTCATTTATATACTTTACCACAATTTTTAAAAAAGGGAAAGAAAACACACTGAGGTTGTCCCTTGGTTCCTTTGCTTTCTCCCAGTCTCCAGGTCCTTATCCCGCCCATCGGCCCAACGTGGTTCTTTCAAGCATTTATACAGCGCTCCCTTCTTAAGGGCAAGACAGAACACACACACACACACACACACACACACACACACCCCCGCTTTGCCCTTCCCGTTTAGAAACTGCTCAGTCCGAATCGCAGCCCGAGTGAGTGACACGGTCCCCAGCCTGGATTCGGGCCGACTCAGCCGTGTGCCCTCTACGCAGCTGCCCGGGCAGGTCTCGGGTCACATCCCTGCCCCCGTCGCCCCGGGGCCGCTGCTGCAGCGCCGGGCGCGGCCTGGTCTCGAGGTTGCAGCGAGCACGCGGCTTCCCCGACGCCGGCCACTTGGATGCCGCCTTCCGACGCTGCCACCTACTTAACACAGTCTTTCAATGGGGCCGTTTATTACAAAGACGACTGTCCTCCCTGGGAGGAGGAAACCCAGCATCGCCCGCC